CGTGCCGGAAACCAGTTCCAGGTCAAAACAAAACCACCGATAAAGATGGGGAGTTGGGGAGCCAACAAAGCAGTGGGAAACTCCCCACACTTGGCCAAGTCGATGGCCAAAACCAAAACCTTCGAGCGACCAGTTTACAATTGAGTTTCGAGGTGCACGCATGCGCGATTGCCACATACATTTTAAAAGCACTTGGTTGCGGAATCTGGTTATTCCGGGAGGGAAAACCAGAACTATGGTTCAAGCGGGACACCTTTTGTGGATCACTTCGGTCTGCTGGATTGCATCATGGATAAGTGGAGGTAAGTACTGGGAATCGATCCGATTGTATTGTATGCAGATCTTGCGTGGCGAAGAAAATGAAAGTATCTCACGCCGGTCTATGATATTCCACCATATACTCCGGGCACTGGAAAAAATTAGAAATAATTATGGTAGTCATTTTTTACACATTTACATTTCTATTGAAAAAGATAGATCAGCTAATTAAATCAGTTTTTCAAAAATTTTTTAAATAAACGGGTTTAAAAGCTTTCTTGGAAATAAGCTTAACAAATTTTTTGAAATTTATCATTTAAATATTATTTCTTTTAAGCTTTTTAATTATTTTTCTCTCTGTACCTTTGTTATACCATAACTCACCATAATCTCGTTTCCCCACTCTCACTCTCTATTTTTTGTGGCTCTCAGCTGATGCACAGCATCTGATCGCATATATCTCGCAGAGGGGTCTGCATGGAGAGATTACTTTTAGGCAAATGAATGCCTCCACGGTGGAGATCAAGGCCAATCTGGAGGCCACTCTGCAGTATCCCGACCAGGTTTGGAGTTGGGCAGTACGCAGATTCCCAGTGGATTACTCCAATACCGATCCCGAAGAGCGCTGCGAACTAAGTCGCTTGGGATCCCAAGTTGTATCCTTCGATGAGGACCTAGAGTACCTGGTGCTACCTGGAAATGAGACTTCCACCTGGGAGCGCAACATGCAGCTGATTGGAGATCGAGGGATTTGGGGCAAGTCGCTGGTTCTCACGGAGGTTAACTCTAATTTCCGGATCTGCGCCACCATCACCACATTCAAAGTTCCGTAGAGCATATGGCGGAGGCTCGTTTCAACACACCTGTAGCGGGATCTGTCCATTTCCGTTGGTTGGCTCCAGCGGAAGGAGCTGTTGGAGATACGTTGATCTACTCGGATCTTTACCACATCAGGGAGCAACCACCTGCTCTGGAGGAGGATAAAAGTCAAGCTGGACCCTTCACCCAGCATCACTGGAAGATCTTTGTGACGGATATCTTCAAACATGATCACCATCGCACGGAGGACAACTGCAACTTCCTACAGCTGGTCTTCGATCCCCAGGGTGGTGGAGCTGGCAAGGGAATTGGTGATCTGGATGCCCGACTGGCAGGATTGGAGTGGCCAAGAACGCCCTCCGTTCGCCACAACGCAGTGTTTTCAGGGATGCTCAGCTGGCCCTGTTGCCCTCGGATCTTACCATTCCACATAGGACTCTGTACCTGGTACTTTTTGATAACCAGCATCCGGATTCGTATCTGGCTTGTACCAAGATTCGTCATGTTCAACCGTTGACTTACAAGTAAGTGGGATCTAACTAAGATTTTTAGCAGAGTTTTTAGTAATTATATTACTTTTTTCAACCCCAGAACTTTCATCAACTCTGGTGGAGTCAAGGGAGAGGTCACCTTCACCCAGCGCTCCAAATTCGACCCTACTTTCCTCAATTTCACCTTGGGAGCCCCACTTTCCCAGCGTGTGAGTCGCAAGTTTGCCGAAGATGTTGCCGCCTTTCGGATTCACAGCCTGCCACCAGTGCCTCAGAGGATGGGTCACGAGGACTACTGTTGGACCACCGGGGAGATGCATAATCCTCGGGATTAAATGATAACATACCACCTCCTGGCTATGGAACCCAGGAGCAGTATCCCCTGGGCGATCTCTCGGGGAAACTGCAGGGTCGCAATAAGGTTACTTCCATCAGTATGTCTTGCCAGGAACGAGCTCCGAGTTAAATGGCCTATACTGGGATGTCTTCCTGCCCCTTCAGGGACGGCATAGCATAGACCAAAGGAGCCTCGTCATCTACACCTTCAATCGAACTGATGTTTCCAAGATTACCAAGATGATCTGGGGTTGTTCCAGCCTGGGGCAATATCAAAGGAATGGTATATATCAGCAGAACATGGTTACAGCTCAGGTTAGTAAATAAAATAATTCATTATATTCGTTATTCAATTTCATCTTTTTTTATGATTTTCAGGTTCTTTTCCGTTACCCAGTGGTGGGTCGTGTGATCTTCCGGCAACCGGCGGAGCAGCCTTGGCAGGATACCACCGTGCTCTTTGAGTACCTCATCCAGGCGGATGGTTCCACGCAGAATACCACCCATGATCATCGTTGGGCAATCCACAGCAATGCACCTGGAAAGGATTTCTACGACTGGCAGCAGAGGTGCATCTCCGCAGGACCTGTCTTCAATCCCTTCCGAGTGGACTGGGGCAATCGCAGTGTGGATGACTTCTGCCAACCCAGCTTACCCTCTATGTGCCGAATGGGAGCTATGGATGCCAGATCGGGAACTTTAACCATCGCTGGAGGAAGAAGGGTGGCCCAGAAGATTAGCCGAAGGATGTTTGTAGATGGTAATCTGCCGCTCTCTGGAAGGCACTCAATCCTCGGTAAGTCCCTGGTTATTTATGAGGATAGTGGTCCCAAAGCCAGAGGGGAGAGATTGGCCTGCTCTGCGGTGATTGGACATTTCCGGCGGAAGGTGGTGGCCAAAGAGTGGTATGCCAATGGAGATCCCCTGACTGTTAGTGGTCGTGTGGAGATTACCCAGCAATCGGAGTACGATGTCAGCAATGTGGAGGTGCAGCTCAAGGGATTGCAGGATAATTCAGGATATCATATACACAGGGTAAGTATTTTTCAATTCTGATCAGAATCTTTAAAATTTACAAAATTCCTAATTCCAGACCCCCGTGGAAGCCAATCTGGCTTTTCCCTGCGAAGCTTCCACTTTATATGGCCACTGGAACCCTTTCGAAGTCAATCCCAAATCATCACCGCCCTCCAAAAGAGGAACAACCGATCAGTACGAGATGGGAGATCTGAGTGGGAAGTTTGGAGGTCTTGAGGGAGTCACCCAGTTCGAGGATGCCTACAATGACACGAATCTTCCGCTCTTTGGCTACAACAGCATTATTGGAAGATCTGTGGTTATTCAGAAGAAACAGAAGAATGCGCGTTGGGCCTGCAGGTAGATACTTCTTTCTTCCCAGACTTTCTTGTATTTAAACCTCTTATCTTAGTACCCTAGAGCGTGGTTATAGTCCCAGTGAGGCCAGGGAACTCAGGCCATTGCCTCCTTCCATCATCCCACGGGATATGCCTATGGTTATATAAAGATGACGCAGTTGATACACAATGATGGTAGCCAATCGGAGACGGTGATTGAGGTGAAGTTGCGCCATCCGGGCAAAAACGATAGGAACTCGACGAGAAACCACAACTGGCAATCTTTGTTAATCCCGTGGGCGTGGATGCAGCCGTAAAACCCACTAATACACGATGTGTGGCTGGAGGATACGTTTGGAACCCGTACTACACACAACTGGCAGATCCTTTAATGTTTGTTTTCTAATTTTATAAGGGAATTTAAAGTTTAATAAGAATCTCTTCTGTAGCTGGATCTCTATGAACAGGAGTGCAGTCCGGATAATCCTTTGCGCTGCTATGTTGGCGATGTCGGAGCACGTTTGGGAACTATAGGTAAGGGATCTTAAATCTTTCTTTAAATTTGGCATTTTAATTGTTAATAACTTATATTTCTAGACCTTGGAGGCGAAAGAGTTGTCCTCACTGACTCCAACTTCCCCTTGGAAGCACCTGTAGGAGCTATTGGCCGTTCTATTGTGATCTTTGGACCTGATAATTCCCACGAGAGGTTCGCCTGTGCAAATATAGAGCCTGATCACAATGTCATTAAATACATAAACCTGCAAAAGCCACCTCGATTTGTGGTGTAAGTATATATTATACCAAATGTACCAAATTAGTAATGCCTGATTATATATATTATTTAGTGCCCAGTTTCTGGAGGAGTTAAGAACCGTGATGGGTATTCCAGAGTGGATGTTGGATGTGGATGCCCGAAAGACCAAGGAACTTCATGGTGGCGCTTGTATCCAGATGATCATCCACTTTAAGGGACCTCTGGCCCACCGATTGGAGTTGGATATGTCACGTTTGATAGCCGCCGGGAGACTGGATGCCCCTAGTCTTTTCATTCCAGGTTATGTGAACCAAAAGAGAAAGGCGACCATCTCATATCGCACCTGTGGTGTAAGGGATACCAATGAGAAACGTAAGTAGTTTTGATATGGAGGCTGGAATCATAAATAATATATTATATCTTTACAATAGGAACCAAGAACTTCAGGGGTAGCTTTTATTCCAAAAGCTCAGCTCCAACTAACCAAAGCCTTTTGTATTTGCTTTCGTAGTCATTGGCTTAGCCCTTAGGTTCCTCTAACTTATACAACTATGTTATTTTGTCAAATACTCAAATCGATTCCGTAGTCACTAGCTTAGTTTCTAGATGTTTGTAAAATTGAAAGCTTTTCTTATGTTTTAATTCCTGTAAATATTATGTGTACAGTAATTATTATCAAAATTGTTGTTTAATAGATATTAAATGTAGTCATTATACTGCACTCGTAATTCCTGTGCATGCATTTTCCTTAAAACGGAAGATACGTTACAAAACACGTGGTGTTTAACTTGATGGTGGATTTACTTTCCCTTCATAACCAGAAGAACTGACCTGGGAATTCGAACATATTCCACCACCCATGGAGACCCACCACTTGTGGTTTATTTCTGCGCATGAGTCTTGCCCAATCGATTTTTCAGTACATACATACATCCCTCATTTCAATCGAGGGCAGCCCGTCTTCGGTGTTAGACGCACATTTCCAGCCGACTCTCCAGAATGCAGCTGATTCTCGTTGCGACCTTGCTGTCCGTGGCACTCGGCAGCTGCAGTGCCTCCATAGCTGGACCCTTTATCTTCTGGGGTCACTCCAGGGTATCCGGGTTGCAGTCCCAGGCTTTGGTGGACTCAAACAGCAGGGAACTGCCGCTGACGCAACTCTTCACGGAGGCCAAGGCGATTGTGGTCTTCGTGCGGAACTCCACCAATCGACTGGAGGGCACCAAGTATCCCAGGTTCCAGAATCTCGTCAAGAGCGGAGCTTGGACCTATCTGCCCCAAAGGAGTCTCGCAGCGGAACCCTTTGGTCTAAATGCCAACATTGAGGTGAGTTATGTGCTATGAAATATTGAATTTTATGTATTCGTGGGAGTTTCTATAAATTTCAAAATGTTCTGTAAGGTCATATTATATTAGAGCTTAAATTTACTTAAAAAAAACAAATATTATCCCACCCTTCATACCATTCCTATCCAGTTTTAATAAATACCTTTGATTTCATAGGTGGTGAGTCTCTCCGGACACGGAGAAGAGGATGACTCGGAGATCCTGTCGGCCTACAACGAAGCCTTGAACACCTACGGTCGTGGGGAGGTGCTGGGCATCCTGGCCAGTCGCGAGGAGGAGGCCCACTTCCTGGCCAAAAGGGAGGCTGCTCCGGCTGCCGAGGAGGAGGAGAAGGAGAAAGAAAAGGAGAAGGATAAGGAGAAGGAAAAGGAGAAACCCAAGGCCGCGGAGGAGGAGAGGAGACCGAGGCCAGTTTCATCTACGTGGCCGAGGGCAACAAGGCGGTGCTGAGCCTCAATGGACCCCTGGAGCTCCGGCTGACCAACGACTCCCTGAAGCTGGAGGAGCACATCAAGCAGATCACCTTCGACGATCAGCGGGCCAAGGGATATGGCCGACTTAGCATCACCTTCATGCACTCCGGGGAGAAGTGCACACTGCGCTTCAAGTTCTCCCTGATCCGGGGATCCTGGACACTGAGGAATGTGGAGGTGGAGTACCGGGAGCTGAAGAGTGTCCTGGTGGCCCGTGGTGATGAGTACACGTTGCCCAATGCCCCACTGGGATTCTCCTATCGCTGCTCGGCGGAAAATGTCCACTTCTGAATCCCGCTAAAAATGAACGATTCAGGGTTTGATCCTCAGTGATTTCCAAGTGCAACCCTGGCTAAATGGACGCCAGGAGTACGGCGAGGTCTACGATTGCGTGGGATTCGTTTCGGCCCCCATCCTGGCAGGACTCTTCGTGGTGACCCTGCTCCTGGGGATCCTGGGACTCGGAATCTCAGCCATGCTCAGCATGCACACACCCAATCGATTTGAGAGTTCGCGCAGCAAGCAGTTAACCTTCACCATTCAGGAGTAAGGATCTCCGATGACCCAAGAGATCTCCGACAGCCATGTTCATCCAGATCACCTATGTGGCTTTCAAGCCCCTGGCTCTGTTCACCCTGGCCATCGAGCTCTTCTCATCCATCTGCTGTTCGTGTTGATCGTGCTTTATGTGTATGTGCTATGGTATTACTGAAAGGTCAAATTTCGAAATGAACGATTCAAAATATATATCCGCAAAGAAAGCCCAAGCCAGTGAAGTTTCCTTGAAAGTGGAGTTAATACATGAATTATTTGTTATAAACAAAACTAAATATATCTGCCATGTACTTTAAAACATTTCTCTATTAATCCAACTTATTTACATATTTAAAGGGCTTTAAATAATATAACATATACTATTATACCAGCTATAAAAAAGAAATAAGGCTATAATCTAAAGAAAAATCTATAGGTAAATGAGTTCTGATAACAATAAAGCTTGCATTTACTTATTTCTCATATGGTTGGAGGAATGTTATTGAAAACCCCTTATATCAACATGTTCCCAATACATCTTATCTTTACAACCGCCTGAGCCTCTCTCTTCGATCTCAAGCCAAAGTTCAACCCACAGGAAAAAGTGAAAAGCGACGAAATTCTGCACAGACTGCCAAAAAAGGATGAGAGGAGTCTGGCTGGAAATTCTGGTTATCTCGGCGGCGGCTCACTTTTGTTTTTACCCATTTCCCTCGCCAGCTCACTTTCATTGGATCCGTTGGATTGGTCCCACAGCGGCCGAGTGCGCAATTAAGCGATAGAGATGCGTGCGGGAGCTGGATTTGTACACTGGAAAAATCTGAAAATGTGGTATAAATAAACTAGTAAATAGTAATTTAGGCATATGCCGTAGGTAACCATATGATATATTCCGCTTAAATATATTTCATATTTTCCAATAAACTTTTTTTGTTGATTTAAGATACTATCTGTTAGTTCGAATTAAGTTGTTATAAAATGTTTTTAAGTTAGTATTACCACCATTATTGAACATAAATGTTCTTAAAACTTCAAAGATGTATATCTCAGGATCGAATCGTGCTAGGGTGAAATCCTTTTTTTCAAGAATTATTTTCCCTGTGTATTAGTATCTGTATCTTTCTCTGGACCCCAAGCCCGAACCAAGCCCAGTCTGGTAGTGTGAGCCTCGTTTATTTATGCATCATTAAGTCACGCCAATGGCTCGTTTGGGCCACTTTTGGTTTATTTTGCGTGTGCGTTTGTCCGGCCAGTTTTTCGGTTCGATTTCTGTTTCTACGACTGACACTCGACACCCAAAAGAAGACAGTGGACAGTGGGTCGCTGCTGGCTGTGGGCCACCCACTTTTCTCCACAGATTTCCCAAAAATATATGTATATGGAAGCAGCATCTCCCCCCCGTCGAAAAAAGATAGAGATGCAGATAAAGATCTGGGCGACTTATTGTTGGGATCGGGAAGTGGGTCGCCTTCGATTGCGTTCACTTTTCCAGCGAGGCTTTACTTTTACTGTCAACCGAACGTGCCCCAAGTTGCAAGTTGATGGTGGCCAGTTCAGTGACTCAAAGAGAGAGTGAGAGTCCCGCACCTGATTCTGTAATAAGAATCGCGATCGCTGGCAAAAGTTTGTGAAAGTTGTTGTCAAACGGCTGGCCAAACCGAGCCGAGCCAAAGCGAACAAAAACGCCTGTCAAGGAGCCGCGCATATCAGCCACATGATGCGAGCCACCGGAGTGGATGCACTGGGAAAAATCTTGCTATTAAAAGGTATGTTAAAAAACATTTTTTAATTTTGTATATATTTATAATATGATTTTCATCAGTCTATCATGTGAAATTAAACTATTTTCATCCCTAAAATAATCCTATCATCACAATATCATATTTATTTATAAGATATTTTCAATTTACAATAAATTCTCCTTCAAAGATTTATAGTCTTAAGCTGGCTAATAAATCGAATGAATAACTAAGATATTTTATGGTATTGCAGATTTAATTAAATATTTGGATATGTCGTGGCTAAGAAAACCTTTCATAATTCCAATGGGTAAGATTGGTTTGAATCCCATTGGTTGTTAGAAAGGTTTCGAAATTTTAAATGGAAAGGTAATTAATTCATTAATATAGGAACATATAAATGGCATTATTAAAAATGACATTATATTTCTGTCGGCTGGGAACATCAACAGGTATTGCCTTTCAATCTCAAAGGGGGCTAATTTCTCCCTCATTCAGCAGTCATCGAATTGATGAGTGCGCTGTCCATTTGATTTAATTGCAAGTTGCCACCACAGTAGACGCTTTCCTCGAGGGCCTTATGTAAGAACTCAATCCGTGGGCTAAGGGCACCCCAGATAATGCGGCATGAAATTGAATTATTTTCACGGAAGCTAAAGGTGAGAGATTTGAGGCGCGGATGCACCACAATAGAGTGGGTCTACGAGGGGGCTTAATCAATTCAAAGGGCTGCAAGCAACGGAAATGGGCTTTGTATCTGCAGCATTGTATCTTTGTATCTGCGACGATTGCAGTGATTTTTATCTGCGAGATTCGTGCACTTGGCTCGGTGAGGTAATAAAATTCATGAGGATTACGAGTGCATCTTGGGATGATCAGTAAGTAGTCTGTCTACGGATGCACTCAAGTAGTTTCTCCTCCAGATTGACCAACTTCTCCCGTCCTCTGTGAAATATATGGTCATGGCTCAAGAAATCGGGCCAAGCGATCAATCCTAACGATCAATCCAGCCGCTGAAAGTTGCAGTCATCCCGAGTCTGCAGTTTGCAAGTGGCCATAACTAGTTGTGGGTCTCATAATTACTTCGCTCAATATTTGTGTTAAAGTTTTACGATTATTGCCACATTTTTCCAGCGAAAGAGAAATCGCCAATTGGCAGGATTGGCAGATGTCGCTGGTTTCTGCCGCGTTTCGTGGCACAAACAGTTGCCCCAACGAGCTGACAAATAACTAATAGCAAAGAAAAGTGCGCAGGCGCACTCGAAATGAAATGGAAAAGCAAAGTAGCGAAAAAAGGCACCTAAAATTGGCGACATTTCGCACATGAACATGAAGTGTGGATCGTCGAACAGCAAACATTACCATTAACCATTAACCAACGGGCGACAATCTGATGCGTTTAGTAAATCAAACCGTTAATTACTTGATTTGGTAAGCGGTTCCCCAATGCCTCTGTTTTTTGTTTTTCCTGCTCTTTTTCTGTCCCCCATTTAAACAATTTCTCGCAAATATTTGCACACCTGTCTGCCGCGCAAAAGTGAAATGCGTTTAGAAAGGAAAAGGAAGATCTGTGATCTTCGGACCACTCGTTCCCCAGAAAAGGTGGACGGATGGTGCGCTCCATTGCCAGAGACCTTGACTTATTAACACCCAATCGTAGAGACCTGGTATTTTGTTGGATTACGGCAGATGAGTACGCTAACTCCGCCAAGATGTACTAGTATTTTCATTTTTATGACCGTGTCGCAAGCTTAACGCCCTGTTAAGCCGGCTAAATGCAAATGCGGCACATAGTTTGCCGCGAATAAATGGGCTCGATCCGAAACCCCATCTCCGAAGACCCCTGGAAAATACCCCTTTATTATTCCAACTCACCTTTGTGGGAGCTCGTTAATTGCTCCGCTTTGGCTGGGTTACAGTTTGTGGAGCGTCTTCCAATTGCGCGCAACTCGTGAGGGTGGCGCAATTTTCGGCCCCTTAGGGGGGCCCGGGTTTTATGGGGTCTTTGGTTTTGGTTTTTGATCTACATGCATGCAGATAGACCGTTTGCCCCGAGGCCGAATCTTTTGGCCAAGGCGCTGGCAATGGGCCGCCCCAATCAGTTGCCGTGATCTCGGCTCATTCTGGCTCATTTTCCCCCACACGAAATCATTATAGCTACTTATGATCTATAATAGAGTTCTGTTTATTTTCGAAGGTTATAGAAATTTCAGTGTGTCGTAGTTTAGTTTTAAGAGTTTTCGTGTTGATTCATACATTTAAATATTTCTATTAACATCATTAGGCTCATATTTTAAATATTTAAATATTTAGTCAATAATTTACATTTTAAAGCCCAATTAAATTTGTGTAAATTCAATTTCAAATTAGCGTATTTTTCCCTGTGCATGCCAAGCGATGGGAGTTCGGAGTCAACACCTGCTCGCTTTTGTTTTTGAGCCAACATTTTTCACCGTTTGCCACTTGTGCCGGTGAAATTAATCCGCCTCTGGCATTGGGTAATTAAGCTAATTAGCTGAGACTGGGCTGAAACCCGAAGTGCAGCCCACCCAAAAGACATGCCAAAGTGAAGCAGAAAGGTTTCTAAGGCCTTCCCCACAGTTGCATCATCTGAAGTCATAAATCGGCAGATTTTGTATTGAACTATGGATTTTTTGCGGCTCAGCATCTGTAGAAAGCTCGTCTTTTATCCGATTTCCTCGGCAACTTGTTGCTGCCAAAACCGCACACACTAACCCAAATTCCCCAATCCCATGATGCGGACTGCCCCCCGCGAAGGCGTCCATTATTGCAATTAAACTAACAATCGGTAAATGGTAAGATGGGAAAAGAGCAGCTGCATCTGCACCGGTGGCTTTTTGGCTTGGTGGCTTGAAGGCTTGCACTTTCCGCTCGAAGCGGCGAGCGCTTTAACTTGGCCAAAAACAAACAAACATCGGCCATTAGTTGGCTCAATTCAAATCGTCGGGCGGCGGCAACAGCTGCCACTGTCACTGGTACACTTAAATCGGATATTCGGAAAATATATTATTCATTATATATTTATTTACTATATAATAATAATAATGTAATCTTTTGGAAACCAAAAATTTTAACTAGTCCATATACATTTTGTTGCTTACCATTGGTAGATTAAAAAAATGGCTAAGAGTCTAAATGTCAGATCTAGATTATATAAAACCTACTGACTTACTTTATGTAGCTTTACTTATAGGATAAACTTGATTATAGTTCCTTTTATCCCTAAATTGTTGTATAAAAACCAATGTATGTACATAATATAAGATCAATTAAACTATTATTAAAGGGTTGAATAATGTATAGTATTTTATCTTAGAAGAAGGTTCTTAAATATTAGAATTGTGAAAGACTTTTTGACCTTATATATCCATCTTAAGATCATTATTTTGTTCTGTGTATATCTTAACTTGTCCAAAACGCTTCTGCAGAGGAGTTAATCTCGGTGGGTCTTCGTGGGGCTCTTTGGGCCTCTCAGCTGCCTTGATCTGGCCTTTTGAGCCGACTTGAGCTGAAGGTGCGCACTCTCCCTCTCTCTTTCTGTCTGTCCCTCTCTCTGGGCTCTCTTTCGCTCCCGTTAGTAACCGACTGTCTGTACCGCTTTGGTCATGACATTCATTCGGTTTCAGTCTGCTCTGGACTTTTACTGCGATCGGTCGTGCTCCGCTCCTCGCGATTTTCCATTTACTACCATACCATACCTTTTCCAATTTCGATTTTCCTCCGCTAGAGGCGCGTGCTTAAACGGTAAACTGTGAGAAGAATCGGGCGTAGTGGCGAAGAGTGAAGAAGACGGGTTGCAGAAGACTGACAGTTTCTTCGCGGAGGCGAGGAATTTCCCGTGGCATTTGCCACACAAATGTTAGACGAGTTAATGAAGTGCAAAAATGTTTGTAGACTGAGTTGTTGCTGCTGCCAAATGAACACGAAGGCGCCGTCAACTTTGTGATTTGCGGTTGCATTCTGCGGAAGATTCAGGCAATCTCAAGACCCAGAAGAAAGACAGCTCGTAGTTTTTGACCCTGTCGCTTTCGGCAGCAAAGTGAAAATCGCTCGGCAGTCGAGGAAAACTGTGGAGAATCTGCGACTTCTTTGGTGTCAAGCGAGAAGACGACCTGGCGATTCTCCTGCGGATTAGTGGCACACTTACCCACAACCAGCACCACGGAAAACCATGTAAGTGGCACGAAAACATCTCGTACCCACTGTGTGGGTGTGAATGGAGTCGAGATCGGAGCTACCCAGCGAGTTGAACGCTCCGCAGATAGAAACATTACAAGAAATCTCCACGTATTTAGTGGGAAGCCAAGCGCATAACAACCGACTTTCCTCAATCGGTTGAGCATCATAACTGGGTGTTATTAAGGGGAAGTTAACAAGGGGCTACCTTTAATTGTGTAGTTGATGATCTATCTCCAATTGGTAGTTTCAATGTAATAGTTTACTATAAGCTTATGATAATTCCTTAGTTTGTTTATTAAAACGCCATTTGAATTGTTCTGCCTCCAAGAACTCAATTTTTCATAAAGTAAAGTTGTAACTCCTTTTGTTCAGTGAAGCTTAAGACCTTTCTATTACTCAAATATGTTGATCAACTAAGTGTATAAATATTCAAAGTATTTGGCACACCCAAAGAAAACCAATAGAAATATCTGAAAACCATAATTAAAAGCTCAGAGCCTGTCATGCAAACTGCCCAGTTAATTGCTTTTCTTTTCTAAGCTCTTAATTATTTCCTATAGCGAAGACCATAAAATGATGCTGAATTCTCCCAAATAAAAATGAGAATCCGCGCATAATGAGATACTTTCCTCAAATCGGATGCTTAGTCCCTCATTATGGCTGCTTAGTCAAGGGCTTGTGTCTTCTGAGCTAATTTATGCAGATTTAGAGGCGCGTTTCTAGTTTCTCGGCCACTAGAGAAGATGTTTCCCAGAATTGGAGACTCTGCGGCAGGCGACGCCAATTAGCGAGCCAACTTGCAACTTGGCCATAAAACTCGCGGCTGTTCCTATTCTAATTGAATGAATGGAATTAACCCAGTTTCGGACCCGACTTGTTCCCATCATAATTGAGGTGGTGCTGCCGGCCAAGAGGCAGCCAGAAAAAGTTAATACGAATTAGATTGTTGGGGAAGCGGTCAAACTTTGATGGGTTGGTCGCCAGCCCAAAATCTAAAGTAGGTGAGCTATATCGTTCGGGGGCCTTAAAAAGCCCGCGGGTGTCTCTCTTTTTTGTTTTAGCCGCGGACTAAATATGCTTTATGATGGAATCAATCAGTATGAGGCGGTATATAGATATGCTAATTTTCGGCCATCTAGAGATCTGGACATGGGAACTGAATGGGGGCCGATCTTCCCTTTTGTGGAATAGGTGCGAGGAACAGTTAGCGATCGTTCCACAAACGAGTTTCTTTGGCATTCTTTATTCACCATGCAGAACTTGTGCGTTTGTTCTACGACAATAAATTCGCGACGCTTTTTGTCTGGTTTTGTCGGGATTTTGAGGTCAACTTGATTGGGTCGCTCTCTTTGATTAACGACTAGCGGAATGGACTCGACTGTCTGTCTGTCTGCTGTTCTTCTTGCCCTTTTTTGGCAGTTCCCGTCTGGCGGCTAATTGCCACAGGTACAGGTGTCTGATGGATCCCCAGCATGCCTCAGAATGTTGATCGCCATCAAATCTTAATGACGGCCGCACGCCAGCAATGGCTCCCAGCTCCAACTTCATTCCGAGCTCGTTATGGATACCATTATGACAAAGACTCAAATCGAGGGGGAGCAAAAAAGAAATTGGAGCTGCAGAGTCCGGCAATACTCAGTATTTACTGTAAATCAAGGTGCTGTTGAGTCCAGGAAACATACCAGGCAATTCTCAGTTTTAATACACTTCATATTTTCTATAGCATAAAGTTTCGGTTATACATTTTAGATTTACAAAGATGACCTTGCGAAATCTGGAAGACACTTGCCTTTTAAGTAGCAGTACCAAATTTGTATTTCCATTTCCAAACATTCCAGTTATAAACTTCAGGATCCCAAGTATTTCAGATTCAGGTCTCTAATATACCCTCTAGTCCCCCACAAAATCGGTACCAAGCCGAGCCAGAATTAAAACCCCTCTCGATTGCATGCAGAGCACGGGGTCGGGCAATTAGAAGTTTGTTGGCCTGCGAAACTATCAGAGCCAGCAACTTCATAACGAATTGTTGTAATAACATTAATGGCGAGCCCCGAGAGTTATGTTTGCCTTATGGCCAGCACAGCAAATCATTTCACATCGCCACATTTCTATTTTCGCTGGGTTCATTAAACCAACTGAGACCCGGAGTGTAACTAAAAGCCGCAGCCAAAGATACAAAGATATGAAGATACAGATACAGATGGTATATAGAAAGAGTGGGGCTCTCGAGCAGTGGCGACAAGTTTGGCTTCCGTTCTCAGCCCGCTCATTTGTCACCAGCTTACATAACATATTCTCTGGACCCCCTCCCAACTCCTCCGTTTTTTATATCTGAACCCAGCGAAGCGCATCCCAAGTGTCATGGCCACGTTTCTATGGCTTTCCCAGCAGCTCCGCACGATGGCATCTTTCAATTTGTCGCCCGTGTACTCATAATTGTCTGGTAATCTCGGGGCCCTTTCTTTGTGCCCGTCATGTCTGGATTCTCCTCGCCACATGATCCAGCGAAATGCGGTAACTTTTGTTTATCTCTCGTATTTCGCACACTGCGCACATGTGGTGAGAAGAAAGATTGCAACAGATTAGCAGATGATCCTGCACGCTAATTTGGCAACACGTACGCAGATCGGAGAATCCGCTATACGATCGGGGATATGATCTTGTTCCCACAGGGCCACGCCCTCGAGTGGAACATTCTTTCCCAGCCGCTAGAGACACACCCATTCACCAGCTGGTAATGGTTTAGTGGTAACGGAAAGTATTGCCAAAGCGCACTTACTGGGCCTTCAATTAAGGCGTCTACCTGTCCGTTAAGCCGGTTAAGTCGGTAATGCACGACGTCTGACCTTTCCGAGCTGGGTCACTGTCACCTCCGGCTCCAAGTCGGCTTTTAGCTGGAAGTACTACGCCGACGGGGAGTACGACTGCCGTCAGACACTCCAAAAACATTATTAATTGGAGTTTACAATTTAAAACAATTTCGGGTGCACGCAGAAGGGAGTTTTAAGAGGTTTAAGTTAATAATAAACGGTTTTTAAAGTTTTAGGTGCTTCCAAAATGAACTGTGTAATTGAAATACAATGTCACATTCTTGTAACTTATAACATCTTTCAGAGTTCATAATTTTATGTACGATTTGTTATTGTGTGATCCATTTTGTATCTTTGGGATGGCTAAAACATATAGTGGATAACAAATTTTTGTGATTGTAAAATTGATAGGAATATCTATATATAATTTCGTGATTTTTAGAGATTTAAGATTTTTAATTTGGAATGATTTTAAAACATATATTTATAAAGGTTTTCAAACTTAATATTAGTTTTTTCCGGTGCAACCATATGAAAGCCACTTACCTAACCGCTGTGGTTGGCTGCCTTTCCGGACTTTTCGGCTTGTTGGTAAACATTAAATGTTCTTCTCCGCTCGATTCTCGATTCTCGGGAAGACAAACATGGTCAGTTCTTTATTTTCGGTTCGGGTTGGTTGCCCCAGTGTCGGATTCCGATTCCCTGCTGCTCCATCTAAGTACTAAGTCACTGGAAAAAGGGGTACTTTCAGGTGCCCCAAAGCTCTAACTCAAATATCTTTAAAAGTTTGTTTATTTATTAACCCCGCCAAACAGTGCATCACCCCTCCAAACCAAAAATTTCAATTAAGTGCACTTAGGGAGGGGGCTAAACGGCATTTTCCTGGCCACCTGGGAAATAGCTGGCATTGGAGACATGGCCCTAAGGAAAGTTGCCTTTGTGCGGGGGCCCTAAACATTTTCCTAGTTGTCATAGTTGAATGGTAGTGGAGGAAACTCCCACAACTAACTGACAACTTGTGCGATTGTACATGGATTGTGTTATGCACGCATATGGCTAAACTTATGATAAATTATGTTGGCTGGTGTTGTTGCGCCGGTGAAAGTGCCAATTGTTTGTTTGCGCGAATTCTTGCCAAAGAGATTTCCTATTCGTTATTAATTGTGGCATTGTGTCTGCCTGTCTTTCAGTTTTCCAGAGAGCCCTCCCTCGAAGTTCGGAGCCCAGACCCCAAACGCATCGTCATGGAGCCCACGCCCACACCCAATATGCTGTAAGCAGTCCCACTGAACTCGCATCTAAAACTCCGCATCCGCATCTGAATTCGCATCTGCATCTCACTGACTTCGCATCTGCATCTGTACAAAAAGCCATTCCATTAACCCACAAGCGAGTAACCCGAGTAACCTGCATCTCCAAACGCCTCCAGGAAGCAATTGCTGCTGAAGAACCACCAGGACGCCATTCTGCAGCTCCAGGGGAATTCTCCGTCGCCTCATCTGACCTTCGGTGCCGCTTCGATGGCGGACAGCAGGGAACGGATCCGCGGACCTTCCCGGGATGGCCGGGAGTTCCTGACCAGTCCGCGGCAGGTCCTTCGCCGTCTGATGCTCCTTTCGGAGGGCAGACAGTACAGGGAGGCCGCCGGCGTGGTGGGCAGACTGGGTCCCTCAGTGCTGAGATCGGTCATCGCCGAACTCCCGCTGGATCTGCTGCTGGAGCACCTGCCTCACAGTGCCTACCTGCTGGAGTCATTCTTCACCAGGTGAGTGGTCATAGAACGTTAACTATACTATTTTAAATACCTATTCAGATATATTCGTAAGTATTATGAACTAAGCATTCTATTGTAAATAATACTATAAGTGGGTTCCTTTTTGGGGGTATGTAGGATTTTATAAAATATATGCTCTAATCCCCACTTTCCATCCAGACTAACCACCTTGAACACCACTCCCAAGCCGGAGGTGCCCAGTGAAACGGTGGCTTGGCAACTGGTGCGTTTGTTTGCGAATCCCCACGAATCCGGACTCCGGCAGAGATGCACCCGACTCCTGCAGGCCTTGGCCCAGTACGAACCAGCTCTCCGGCAAACGGTGAGGGACAGGAGGCGCAGCTTCGACAATGCTGTCCAGGGCCTCGGAGTCCATGGACTCACCACCGATGCCTCGGGACAGCTGATATCCCTGCATGTGGCCCTGAAAACAGAGCTGCAACGCCATGTGGACACCTACAAGATGGCCATCCACAAGCTGGAGGAGCTGAGCATGGTGACGGTCAACCAGGACCCCGCCCACTCCTCCCACCAACGCCTGCTGGCCATCAACTACGGGGACATTCAGCAGCGACTGATCGACAACAAGACCCTGCTCACCATGCTGGACAAGCCGGCCCTGAAGCAGCTGGCCACGCTGGTGGAGAACCTGAGCACGCGGGTGGAGAACGACAAGGAGGTGCTGACCTGTGTGGGTCAGGTGCGTCGCCTGGACTCCCAGGCGCTGGTGGAGAAGCGTCCCGCCGCCGGCCTGCTGATGAACTTCTCCCGCGGCTGCGAGGTGGTGCTCCACATGATGGGTCCCGAGGGAGGTCCTCCGGGCTCCGCGCTGTCCATGGGCAAGGCCACGCCCCCCGGCGGAGCCAGCACGAGCAGCTGCAGCGATGGTTACCACTCGGATGACTCCGGCAGCGATGACGGCAGGTGAGGATTTGTTTATATTCTATGTATTGATAAATAAGCGATTAAACTACCAGTGAAAGAGTAACCTCATTGATAAAGCAGTGGTCGACCATGGGCAACAAATTTTCATTGCCGTCGCTCTGCCAGCACACACACAGTATAGAAAGACATGTGTTGCTGAGCAAGTCAGCATAATTTTATAACACTCAAGATAACAAAAGGCAGATATACCCATAAAAGAAAGATGTCTCCCCAGTATACATTCCTAAACATATTAAGGTTATGTCCAGTGCTCGATTCTAACACTTGACCGAGTTCCAATAAGGTGTAACACCCACATTACAATCTCAGTCAAATCAGATCGAGACCGCTTCCAACTCTCACTTGCCCACGTCCCACACCCAGACGCCCATCTCCCATTTAATTTTGTATTTCTATTTCTAATTCCATTTCTATTTCTTCACAGCGAAATGGTGTCGCTTTATAGGAATCTCTACGTCGAGAACCGAGCGGACGCCTTGGAGGCGTTGGACAGTCTTCCGCAGATAAAACACGCGCACAGCCTCAAGGGGAAGATACTCTTCTCGATGATTGTGGTGAGTCTCGAGTACCCAACATATGTACCTGCTTTGGGATCAGTTGTAGATTGCCGCTGGAAGATATGTCCGAACACTCAATAATGACTTGTTAAAGAGGCCGAACAAATTTCGAGATTAACTCAATCGGGAGAAATTATGGCCAGTTGCGGGTCAGACAATGTTTTCACTTTTTTGGGGGGAGCTAAATAAATTTCTAGTTGAAAGTGTTTTGTTGAATATTTTTAAAATAATTACAACATTTGATAATTTAAAAAAAAACGAAAAATAATTAACTATTAAGACAAGCGGAGAAATTTTTGCCAATTGTCAGTCAATGATTCACTTGTCGCTGGAATATAAATCGCCAACAACAGATTTTTACTTTTATAATTATCCCCTCCGTTTTCACTTGTCAAGACAACACAGAGTTCATTTGTGATGAATGGAGTCAATTTATTATGGGCGTTCGTAATCTTTTAAAGTGCCAATTTTGTGTCAATAATATTTTAACTTTTCTATAGCTTAGAAATCTTTAGATTTTAAAAGAGAAAAACTGTTGTTTTAAGAATGAGGCGATCGCGTTCTTATTGCCATTTGGTAAGTCGATAGCGGTCAAAAGTCAATGGTACATTTTTCTGAGACCTATTTTTATGCAAATAAATTCAAAGCCCACCCATTAATAAGCTGCCATTTAATAAACAATAGCTACAAAATAGATTAGTTATTCTTTTAAGGGGGTCTTAAACTATTTCAAAAATACTGCTAGCCCAATGGCTCTCAAACTGTAAGGCCAATTTAGCTGACGAAGATTACTTTCAATTTTCAAGAGCTTGGATGGCCGTCAATTACGAACGAAAGCCCGTGGGCTCTGGATGCTTCAGATCCTGTCAGACCGCAGATTGCGATTGCAAAATATCAATTTGGCCAGATCGAAATCGCTTTAGAGGATGATTAGGCGTTGGAGCAGCGAAAATGTGAGGGAAAGTGGAGCCCCCAGGGTGTCAAAAATTACGTAGGCGCTGGGGATCAAACCTGTAGTAATCGAATCACTTTCGATCGGATATGAGATGAATGACACTTTCTCAGGGAAAAGGCATTGTCAATGCCAAGATCACCACATTAAATTATGTGAAAGATTGTAATCATGCTGGCAATTTGTGCAGATATACAATCCCAAGAAATGTTTACCTATGGCTCCAAATATTTTAGGTTCCAATGCTGAAAACACTTAAAATTCATTGTGTTTATTTATTTTTATTAAATGGGACCTAAGTATGTGAATGTGATATAAGGAATATTTAAAGCAAATTGTCAAGTTGTTTGTTTTGATTTGACCAAGTAAAGAGCTTTAACAGATGAAGTTATTTCCCTAATATCATATCATATTTTATTCCTGGGCAGCTGTCTTTCCGCCTTTGCCACGGGATGCGTGAGAGGAAGGTCCTGGAAGTGCGGCGCATCCTGAACTGCCCCTTGGACAGCAGCAGTGAGACCACTCTATCCCTGGACAGATCCGTTCGCCAGCACCTCTTCGAGACCGCCGACAGCTTTCCGCTGGGCGAGATCGAGCGGTCGGTGTTCAACCAGGTGCTCTCCACTCTGCACGAGTACCCCTGCTTGGAGTCCTGCCCCCCACTGACCCACTACGTGAGTGCCTGTGTTCGCCTGGCCTGGCGGATGATCAACCAGAAGGCGCCCTACTACCTGGACATGGACTTTAACTTGGGTTTGTGTATATTATATAATTTGTATTTAAATAATAAACTTAAAACTTAAATACATCCCATATAGGCTTCCTGAGGCCCGAGAAACACGAGCGGCATCCCCAGGCGGACCGGCGATCCGACCTTATAAAAGCCTTCCTTTGGCCCGCCTTGATGCAGAACAACCAGTGCGCCTTCAAGGCGGTGGTGGCCACCTGAGGATCTTCTTAAGTTAACCTCATTTGTACATATACACGCCCCCTCTCTTATGCAATAAAGATTTACCCCCTAGCTAAGCGTAACTGATGGGCCGGAGTTTGATGCACTGACTCCGGGTTTTGTTGGTGCAGAGCAGTGGATGTTCCGTGTAGAACTCGACGATTTCAGATGGGGATCCAAAGCAGCGTTCTTGAGACTTCTTTTGACCTATGGCATACCGCTGTCTCCTGTCCACTTGCCTTATAAACAGATGGTAGAACTGATCCGCTGCCCAGATGCTCACTATGTAGCGGATGCACAGGTCCGCTGCCTTGAAGGGACGAACCAGGCAGGATCCATCTTCGCGTCCATGGAGCATGCGTTCCGCCGTGGGGCGATCCACCGTGAAGTAGTACTGCTCCTTCTCCACATGCCGCTCCTCGATCTCCGCATAGTTGGCATCCGCATGGTCTTTGGGAGATTAAATTATTATATCAGTTAGTGGGTTCTCAGAGAGTCGTTTATTATATTATTTATGCAGAAAGAATGAATCCTTAGTTTCTTTAACAGTTTATTGATTGTTATGATATTCTTTTGCTTATTTTCCTGTTTGTAATTTACTTTATACCAAACACCGCATAGAAATCACTATTTCCATACCAATTTTAACCAAGCAGGTAACTTTATCATAATTCCTTGTGATAACTTCTAAGAATTTCCAGTTGTTTACTGTTTTTGTTTATATTTTTACACTATGTGGGTTTGGCTTGGTTTTGGAAAGAGAGATCGGCGAGAACTCACCCACAATGACGTAATCTTGATGGGGCTGCTGATGTGGATCGTCATCGGTGCTGGAAACCCGTTCGGCGACGTCACCTTCCTCGCTGGCCTGCCGCTGGTAGCCGAAGCAGCAGCTACAGCAGATGGGGGACCTCAGTTCCATGAGGTTGTCCAGCAGGCGGACCAGCAGATTGTGGAGAACCGTCCAGTAGACACGTGCACACCAACAGCACATGGCGCCAATTCCAACAATCGAAGCGACTTATCCCCGCGACCTTGGATTCGATGGATCGTTGGGAATGGGACTGGGATCGCCGCTACCGGCGCACATCTTTCGCTATCGAGCTGCGCTGAAGACTGAACACTGAGTAGTGAGCACCCAGAACTAGGCATGGGACCACAGCCAGAGCCCAGAACTCAGAACCCGAAACTGGAACTGAAACTGAAACTGAAACTGATCAGAAGCCGAGGCAAACCCGGCTCGTCTGGCGCTGCCTCTTAATTAAAATGTGTTTAATGCGCGCTTATGGGGCAGGGGCTGCAGAAAGCCCATATGTAAATAAGATATGGATATGACTGGTAAACAAAATTCACAGTGCTGAGGGGTGGCGATGCACAAAGTTGGGGCCCAGGAAGTAACTAGATACTCCAAGTGCTGGGGAATGCAGCCAAGTGCAGATCATTGTAAAAATTTTGGGGCTTTTTACTTAAAATAAACCTTCTAAAAAAATATTCTCCGTAATACTATAAAATATAGAAATTTTTTGTAAGAATATGAACTAAAATTTGTTCGCTTTATTTAATTAAAATACCATTTTGTTTCACAGTGTACAAGCAAGCAGCAAGAATTATTAAACGTTTAGCACCCAAGAATGTTTCTTCCCCTCGGTTTCTCTACCGACCGCGGAATTCATTGAGTGTGGCTGCAATTTTGGGCGGGGAAGGGGATTCGCATATCACATTTCTGTTGACGGTACATAACCGAGACCGAATGGAGACAAGTGGCCAACATATGATTTTGAAGATCAGGAGCGCCTAATAATGCACTTAAGTCATTCTTTAGCTGAGGCACTTTCTTTATCGATATTACGACAAATGTCACTCGAAAAATTCCTATTTCTTCCCCTGTTTTTTTCACAAAGAATGTCACAATTTTGTTCGAAACAAAGCTAAACATTGTCCAAATGTAGAGTGTCATACCGCGTTGAACTCGTTATAAAATTCCCAATCGATTGACGTTCAAACCCAAAACTTAATTTTTTGAGCATTTTTGCAAAAAATGTGATGTAACCCCTTATGAAAAAATCAAAAATTGACCAAAATTTAGATTTCCCAAAATCTACCCAGATGTGATGCATATCGTTAGCTTGGGTTGTTAGCTGATCAAAACAGTCTTTCCTATTGTCAGGAACTATCTTTATAGAAATTCGGCAAAAAAACACACAAAAAGGTTCCTGTTTTGGCACAAATTTTAAATACTAATTTTTAACCAAAAAATGTCAGAATTTTGGTCGAAACAAAGTTAAATATTGTCCAATGTAGAGTGTCATACCGCGTTGAACTCGTTATAAAATTCCCAATCGATTGACGTTGAAACCCAAAACTTTATTTTTTGACCATTTCTTGCAAAAATATGTGATGTACCCCTTATGAAAAAATCAAAAATTGACCAAAATTTAGATTTCCCAAATCTACCCAGATGTGATGCATATCGTTAGCTTGGGTTGTTAGCTGATCAAAGCAGTCTTTCTATTGCTCAGGAACTATCTTATAGAAATTACGGCAAAAAAACACACAAAAAGGTTCCTGTTTTTTGCACAAATTTTAAATACTAATTTTTAACCAAAAAATGTCATAATTTTGGTCGAAACAAAGTTAAATATTGTCCAAATGTAGAGTGTCATACCGCGTTGAACTCGTTATAAAATTCCCAATCGATTGACGTTGAAACCCAAAACTTTATTTTTTGACCATTTCTTGCAAAATATGTGATGTACCCCTTATGAAAAATCAAAAATTGACCAAAATTTAGATTTCCCAAATCTACCCAGATGTGATGCATATCGTTAGCTTGGGTTGTTAGCTGATCAAACAGTCATTCCTATTGCTCAGAACTTCTTTATAGAAATTACGGCAAAAAAACACACAAAAAGGTTCCTGTTTTTGGCACAAATTTTAAATACTAATTTTTAACCAAAAATGTCAGAATTTTGGTCGAAACAAAGTTAAATATTGTCCAAATGTAGAGTGTCATACCGCGTTGAACTCGTATAAAATTCCCAATCGATTGACGTTCAAACCCAAAACTTTATTTTTTGACCATTTCTTGCAAAAAATGTGTGTAACCCCTTATAAAAAATCAAAAATTGACCAAATTTAGATTTCCCAAAATCACCCAGATGTGATGCATATCGTTGCTTGGGTTGTTAGCTGATCAAAACATCTTCTTTGTCAGGCACTTTCTATTCGAAATTACGTCAAAAAAACCACAAAAGGTTCCTGTTTTTGACAAATTAAATCCTAATTTTCACCAAAAAATTCAGAATTTTGGTCGAAACAAAGTTAAATATTGTCCAAATGTAGATGTCATAGCGCGTTGAACTCGTAATAAAATTCCCAATCGATGACGTTCAAACCCAAAACTTTATTTTTTGACCATTTTTGCAAAAAAATGTGTGTAACCCCTTATAAAAAATCAAAAATTGACCAAAATTTAGATTTCCCAAAATCACCCAGATGTGATGCATATCGTTGCTTGGGTTGTTAGCTGATCAAAAATCATTTATTGCTCAGGAACTTTCTATTTGAAATTACGTCAAAAAACACACAAAAAGGTTCCTGTTTTTGGCACAATTTTAAATCCTAATTTTACCAAAAAACAGAATTTTGGTCGAAACATAGTTAAATATTGTCAAAATGAATGTCATACCGCGTTGAACTCGTAATAAAATTCCCAATCGATGCGTTAACCAAAAACTTTATTTTTTACCATTTTTTGCAAAAAAATTTTTGAAAAAATCAAAAATTGCCAAAATTTAGATTTCCCAAAATCTACCCAGATGTGATCATATCGTTAGCTTGGGTTGTAGCTGATCAAAACAGTCTTCTATTGCTCAGAACTTTCTTTTGAAATTACGGCAAAAAAAACACACAAAAGGGACTTTTTTAAACAATTTCGACAAAAAATTACACAAAAGTTTCTGTCAGCAATAGTTTTTTTTAATATTTTGAAAGATTATCCTAACAATAAAACAACGCCGTTGTACCTTATTAAGCAAGTTATGGAATTGTAATCTTCAGCTATATTCTCAGCTATTCAGATGAGACACGAACCTCTAAAAGTTTTCCATAAGCTTACACCACAAAACCCGAAATGGGAAAAGCTACTGTGGTGAGCTCAGTCTCTGTCCCTTTCACTCGCTCATACATTCTCCCTCGCACAAATTTAAAAATTTTGAAAAATTCAAAAGCAATTAGAGTGCGGCCGTAAATCGTGCGACTTGACGACGTTCCGAATCGATTGCATCCAAATCTCCTTGTAGAACCCAAAATGGACGTGCAAATGGCAGCACGTGGATCTATACCTATAGATATGGCTTCCAGCCCGGGCAGATCCCACAAATCCGGCCCAAAAGTGATGCTCATTTTATTGCGTATACGCCCGATGGGCTGAGGCGAGCATCGCGATTTTGCTTGCACATTAAAAGCAATGACTACTCGCCTGCCAGTGGAGGCAAACAAACATCTCTGCAGGCCGGTCACGTGCTCAGAAAGTCAATAAAACGATATTCCCATTTGTCTGGCGTATGATATGATGGTATGGGGCATTAATAATACCCGATAGTCGAACAGTACGATCGCATACTCCGCACTCCGAACAGTAGCAGCCATACCATCGGGCAATTAATATGCGGCAAACAATTTTGATGAACTGCTAACAAGCCAGTGGCTCGATGGATCGATGGATCCCGGGGCTTTATGGGGGGTTCTATATCGAGAAGGCATCCCATAAAGCAACAAAATGGCACAAATTGATTTTGGCCAAACGATTATTTCGGGGGTTGCGTGCTCTCGGGCACATCCGCCTCGAAAATACCATCAGTAGCCCCTCTACCTTTTCCGATGCCAAGGATCAACCAGCTGGGCCATCAATTTCAATGAGTCTCTATGGCGATTGATTGAGAGACCCGTCAGTTCTTGAGGCCACTCAAATTCATGAGTTAGTGCTGGCCCAAGAATAAAACCGTTTACGTCTCAATTATGTTTGTGTAAAAAATGATTCACAAATGGCAGAGTAGGAAATCTCGGCGACAGCTATAAAGAATAAGAGCCCGCATATTTTATTTACGATTATATCCGGACGGAGGCCAAGCCGTAGAACTGCAACTCACCACACTGCTCTGTTGTCCAGCGCTCAACAGGCGTTTCTGGCTGTGGTGGGTGGGCGGTACGAGGTTCGGGTTCCGGGGGCCCGTCCCGAAGTCCCCAACCCAAGTCGCAACCGATTCGGATATTCCGAACCGAGTGCGAATCCGAATCCCAACCGCTTCAGTTTTGGTCCGTGCCAAGCATTCGCGCATTTTGCCATCGAGCGTTGGCCAGCGCGGTGGATATTTCGCATATCCGCAGTATTCCAACCCGTAACGGTATCGAAGTTTGATTTTTAAAATTTCTACCGCCATAAAAAATAAATAACATAATAAAATAATAAACAAATCCGGTGTGCGTGCCAGTGCTTGTGTGCTTTGTCTCAATGAAATGCCAAACTAAATAAGCTTGGAAAAGTTTTCCATCCAGTTTTTATGGCAACTTAGTGGGGCCCAAAAAAGTGTCAATTGAATTAGCGTCTCGGGGTTTTGAAAAATAAAATATAATAAGCAAAAGAGAGATTATCAAGGCGCAAACGGCTGATTGGATCGCAGATTTTATTTGAATTTGCAGTGGTGTTTATTCCGATAACACAAAAACAAAGCACCTGTGGCTCCTCCTCTCATTTTTTGGATCCTCCTCTAATTCCGGGTAACTACACTATTTACTTAAGAAGTTTACTTTAATTTGCGTATGTTGCTAATGGAAACATATGAGAAACCACATATGTATGCTAGACCCCATAGAAAGAAAATCAATAAAATTCGGACAGAGCAATATGTTTATGCTAACCGCAAAGGTAACTAAATATTTACTTTCACAGGCGGGGAAAGTCGGGAAAACTCTTCACCTGTTGCACGTATCGCATGTCCTGTTGATTGGCTAATTGATAACATCCAGTTCCGGTCATCAGCCAACTATATGTCCATCAATCCATCCATAAATCCATCCATCTATCTATCCATCTACTCTTGACCCTGCCAGCGGGCAGCCCATTAAATCATCCCGAGCAAACAAATTAGCAGAATGAGTGCATCAATAAACAAAGATCACCTGTGGCCCCCCGCAATGTCCCAAAAATAAAGAAACATCTGCAGTGTGCATCTAGAGATACATCTTGTATCTTTTGGGTTGCAGTTTCGTATGACTTGTGGCGGATTTTTGGAATTGCGCTCGATGGGCTGGGAAATAAAGCGAAATGAACCGAACCGGGCGAGTGAACATCAAAAGCGCTTTATCGCAATGGGTTTGGATGGGCTGGCTGGATGGTATATGGATGGGAGGGCGGGCGTACTATATCTATCTATCTATCAGATGCACACGGCGCTTGTAACCGCAATTCGCATGCTACTGCACCGAACCCCCGTCCGTCCTTCGAGTGCCTCAAGTCGCCAGTGCTCTTGATTGCGCCTTTGTGTATAAATTAATTAAATTAAAAGTTTCCGGTTAAGCCTCCAAACGCCGACAAACGCGGCACTCGGACGCAATTGCATTCGAAACTGCAGAAAACCGATGCACTTGCCGTTTTCACTTCGACTTCGAGGAGCTTCTAGTGATAATCGCACCCTGTCGATAAAACATACTCTCATAAAAAATAAATAAAACAAACCCAGACGATGCAAATATTTATAGTTTGTGTCAACAAGTTCTTGGGATTCCCCGTTTAAACACCCAGTGTATGATTGCAATGGGCCTTATCACTAACTTAAGCTGCTCCAGATACAGATACACGCAACAAATTACAAAAGGGGGTACATCAACTCTGATAAGGGGATAAAAATAGGGGAATGATGTTATATGTAAATTACAAATAGGAAAAATATTTGTATGTTTAAAATTATGTTACAAGGCAAAAGATTGGTAATCTTCATATTGAATCATTATTAAAGAAATGTTAATCATATTCAAACTAGGTTGAGAGTTTGCAGTTGATTTTTCAACTAAATATATTTCCTTATCACCATATGTCTGACTTCAAGGAATTTCCCAATTTAAAAGAAATTTCAGAAAGATTGGTCAGTTTTAAGATTTTATGATTTTTTATTTCATAAATCACTCAACAAGATACAAACTAATACAGATTAGTGATAATAAAAATCATCATTTGATATGACCTTAAAGGGCATATGTAATTTCTTTGTCTGTGTGACTGAGTGGCTATTTCAGGCACGTTCGTCCAGCCCAAGGCTCCCCGTAGCTCTCTCATTTGGCTGGCAATCCTTTTCCTGGGAAAACGAAAAGGAAACCCCTCTCCCGCCGGGAAACGTGTGCAGTGAGTCGGGAAAGTCGAACCCTGAGATGGATTCATTAGGCTCCTCCTGACACCGCCTGCCACCCATACTCTCCCATCCGTCCATCCCAATTGCTTCTATAAATATTCCGGCAAACACATCAACAACCTCCCGAAAACGTCAGCACTTGCCAAAATCCAAAACCGCGACGCAGCCGATTTCCAAACTGCTCAGTGTTTTGTTGCAAAGTCAACAGCTTGGCCAAATCTGATTTCGATTCGATTATACGAATTTAAAGTAAGTCACGCAGTGTTTTTTTAGCAGTTCCCCTGGTCCGAAAATCGAAGATATGGGGGGTATGTACATAAGTGGGTTGCGGCTGGGAATTAGCATCCAATTAGAAGATAATCGCTCGCTAATTCCGTGGGTAAACTACTCGCGAAAAGATGGCCCAAAAGTGTCGCAGATTTACGGGGCTTAAGCACGCCCTAACCCTGTAATAGCCCCACTTTACTATCCCCCTAATAAAAGTCCTTGAGTGCCTGCAGTTAATGTGCAGTCGACCTTCACGCCAACTAAAGAGCAATTGTCAATATTTTGACAGCAACCCCCGTCAAAAAGGGGGCGAAAGGTGAAAGGCGCAAGGGGTGGGTTTTCGATGATGAATATGTTGGCGACATATTGCAAATCCCAGTGGATGAGTTCGACCCACGTGTCCGGGAGGGGCGGTGGGAGGTGGGCGTGGCTCACCTAATGTTGACATCACTTGGCCATTTGATGGCCGCCTTTATGAGGGGCTTTAACAACCTGATGATAAAGAGCGCCAGCGCGATGTGAACTCAACTGAACTGGAGGAAAGCGAGGCGCCCTTGAGTGGACTCCAATTGATGGCCAATTTAGCGCGGCTTTTTGATCCCGTGCTCGGTGCAGAGAGAAAAATAATTCAAATTTTAGGAAAGAAAATAAAAGTACAAATACTAAATACAGATTTCTTCAATAGCTTATCTAATACCATGGTAATACATACTTTTTAGACAGATTTAAAAGGATTACATATTTATGCTATACGAGTGATAATAAGGGGTAAGGAAACTAATATCATGATCTAGTCTAGGTATTAAATATACCTAATAATAAGAACAAATTAAGAAGTATATGTATAAAAATAACTTTTTCGTTAACGTCAATGTGATTGACTCGTTTTGTTTACTTATATTAATATAATTTTACTGAAGTCCGTTCTCTCAGTGTAAGCATTTATATTGGCTACCCCACTCACATTCTCCTCCATCCGGCAATCGCCATCGCATTGTCCTCGTATTGTTCCCCGGTCATATGGTCTCGTACCCTTCAATTACACTTATCCTGCCTTAAATTGATGGGGCTACGAGCAACAGTTGTTGTACAGGAAAAATGGGAAAAGGAGGATTACTCCCAGGGCGAAAGAAACATATTCCAATTGCATTAAATTTGCATTGATCAGGGGGAGTCCTCTGCTTTCTCGGAGCGAATAAACCTCCATGGTGCCGAGATAAAGATGCAGATGCAGTTTCCCGACGTGGATTAGTTCACTCAACTGATGGCCCCGCATGAGGCCATTACCAATGGGGTGGATCAGAGTGGATTGCTCCCTGTGAAAGTCACCCACCCACACCCACCGTCCGAGATGAGAAATTATTATATTTGAAAATTTTACATAATACCAAAATAGAAACGAGCATAGCGCATCGAGAGATTCGTGATTCAGGGCCAGCACGTGATGGGGAAAAGTGGGGTAAGATAGCAGAGGAGGAGGAGGTGGCACCCAATGGACTGTCCACAGAGCAAAAATGCACATTAATTGTGGCTCAGATTCGAGTTCAGTCAGCTGGCCATTCATTTATGGCATTTGTCTGCCTGCATAATTAACAAGTCGAGGCGCAGGCTTTGCATTAATTATGCTCGAATTAAATCGGCGGAACGGCATCAGAACAGAACAGTCATCTGTTCAAACCTTGCAAGTGATAATTCCCCCTTTTGGCACCCAAAAGCCCCTCGGTTACCGGTGCTTGTAGTATATCTCCACTGTTTACTTGTGCCATTAGACTCCCAGAAAGTCAGATAGTCAGAAAGCCTCCCTCTAAATGATGACTCACTGCGATCAATTCAATGCCGGCCATAACCAGCGTAAAATTCGTTCTTATATTTATTTGCTTTTGAGCACACTGCACACATTTAGCTAAATTGGCGCAACTGAAGAATTTAAAATTATTCAGAAATCGTAAACGTTTTACAGCTGTGTCTCTCTGGGTGTGAAATATCGAGTAAAATATTCAAACAGAATGCAAATAAAGCACAATAAGGCTTTAAGTCTTCAATGGAAAACAATTTAGGGCTCAGAAAATATTCCCAATTCTTTCTGAAATGGATCATTTTTATTAATACATCAATACTTTAGCATATAGCAATAGGAATCAACTTTTTATATTTTCCTTCACAATAAGTGTATTTCCCTTGGAACTCAACCTTTAAAAAGATCTAAGCACGTTTCAGGCACTATAAAGCCACAGTTCTCCAGCTGCATATAACCCATTAAAGCTCTTGATCACATCCACATCCCGTCAAATCGATGGGTGGTCCGGCCTACCTGGGCACGTCGCGGTCCACCCCAAAAATGGGTGAAAGCAAATCAGAACGTAATAAACTTTTATAACTGCGCATCCCTAAACGACAATAGTCGACAATATTCGGTTCGATAAACAGAGAATCTGAGATCGTTTAAATGCAAATGCCACGAGTATCAAAAAGTATTTTAATGGTTTTTAAGAGAGGAGGGCGGTGTGTGGGTGTTCCAGCACGCAGGCTGCATTAATTTACTTGCAACTTTGTGGAATCGTGGACAATGCGAATCACATCCGCCGGAAATGGGCAACTTCGGTCGGGGAGGGGGGGAGTGGGCGGTCGAGGGGGAGGGTCCACTAAGCCAACTTGGAAAGTTATTAAGTTTCATCTTAGTGCGCCACTTGTTGGCCAAGTTCCTCTTTCAGGCGCAGGGATAATGGATGGCCCCGCTGGCCACGATGGTCACGTCCTAATGAACAGCTCCACACATCATTAGCGGCGGCCTAGGGCTCCTCCTGCCTCCAGCGACTCCGGTTACGGGTTATTTTTTCGGGGACTGCAATTAAATTTAACTGCCTGCCACGATGGAGGCGAAACTTTCCAGTAAGCTGACAGCTGGCTAAAAAAGGGAACTGCGTTCCCGGAGATGATCCTTCCAGCTCTGGCAGGAATAATGCGCCATTAACACCCACCGAATGCCTTCCTGACTGGCCCCTACTATCTTCTGGGTTTTTCTCATCCCCTCCTGACATTCATCCTTTAGAGAAACCCCCTCAATGGCATTCGGAATGCAGAGCTGACAGGACGTAAGCTCCTGGG